TATTATAAATATAAACACATTGAAGATTAAAAACTATAAAGTGAAGTGTATGGAAAGAAAGATGTACAGATGTCATCTGATACAAAGAATAAAGATGAGGGTTTTGGTTTCTTTTGTTTTGTATGTGTGTCTGTGTTATGTTTGTTTTATTTTATTTTATATTACCCCCAAACTAGAAGTATGGCATTAGCAGGTCTTTTGTCAGGGAGCAGAAATTGTCATTTTTACTAAGAAAACAGAAACTGAATTTTCTATCCCTAATATGCTATCTACAAACTTAAAATAAAATTCTCACTTACGCACTTATGTCCAACAAACATTGCTTATAAGGCAAATATGCAGGTGTTGGCCTTAATTTTCCAAGTTCTTTATATTCATTAATTAAGATTCATAATTGGATCAATCTGTGTTTCATTTTGTCTGTGTGAACATAAGAGGAGGTACACAACAAAATTTGCCTGACTCCAGTGACTTAGGGAAAGTGGTGACTGCTAATATGAACTTCTAGAGGCAGGGTTGGGATGCATGGTTTGCAATTTCCCCCAAAAACAATGCAGTCCTTTTTCTTGCCCAAAGGCTGAAAGACAGAGGGTAGGCATCTTCTGCTATGCCCACACTCTGTAAAAGTTCAAACTCATAGGTTGCCTGTTTGATCTCTGGGGACATGCCCCTAAGTGGAAGGAGTGTCACCAATGCTGCAGCAGAGCCCAGACCACTGCCAGCTAGCCTGGGGACATGAGGCTGCCATCCAGTGATGGTGACTGTGGTTCTCAACCTTTATTTCTCCATATCATACATGGTAGATGTTCACAAGGTGTCTTGTGGTCACAGACATACACAGGCTACAGGAAGTGGCTGCAGGTGCCATTCCTGGCTCATTCACTTTGCCTTCCAGTCAAGAAATCACACCGGAATGCAAATGACATTAATATAGGTACGATTTTTAATCCCTCTGATGTGCAAAAACTTTGGCACTCTGTTCACAACCGATTGTGACCTAACAATGCGTCCCAGGGCAACAACTCAGGACCACTGGACAAGGTAATTGTTCAGATTTCACATCTGACATCTCTGATTCTGTGAAAGATACACAGATCCCAGCCGCAACCAGGAAGTGATTCCTCATAGGATTTTGATCAACCAGAGTGATTTTGTGTAGAAACATCCAGAAGACTGGCTCAAAACTGGGCACTCTCTCCTGCACATGAGAGATCACATTTCCAACATGTAGCCCGGAGAAAACTCCTCTCTGCTCCCACACCCCATCCATAAACTCCAAAAGATTTACTCGCTTCTGGCTAAAACTGCGTTTGTAGGAGGTGGTTAAAGACAACAGGCGGTAACTGAGTTCTAGATCATGCAAAAGTACATCCAGGGAAAGGTGACTGGGGACAGGACTCAAGGAAGCCAACACGGCCAAATATCAAGCAATTAAATATCAAATGTCCCTGTCCTAGTCACTTCTCTTTTCTGTAGTTCTAGGTCACTGAATAAAGGTTTTACACAGACAGTCTCTTCCCTTCTATTTAATCGTATCCAGCGACAGTGCTTAAAAATGTGCATCTGAAAGTTTACAGGGCTGCCCTCACCCTGGGAGAAGGGAGGAGTGGAGTTCTTTGCATTGAACTCTTCTCCGACCCCCGCAAATACACCTTTTCACAATCGGAAGACATTTATACCTCTCCTGTTGACTTCTGTCTCTGTTGTCCTGTTGAACACTGATCTCATTGCACTCAAGTGTTCACGCATGCAAAGGAAATGTCACTAAATGCTGCTGCTTGCTGAGCTGGTGGTTTTGCATGGATAGAGCACTGCGGTAAAGGCCCTCAGAGCTAAGCTTCACATGAAAGGTTGCACTCACATCGCTCTCCCTCTGGAAAGGAGTTCTGTATTTAGCCTCGTGTTTATGGAGCATGAAGGCACATGTCATAAAAATGTCCTGCATATAAATGAAATAATGCAAAGCAATTATTGTGCTTGTTAAGAATGCAACAATAAGATTATGAAATGTAAAGTGTTAATGAATAAAATACGTTTTAACTTGTTTAAAATTATTTGCCTCTGTCCTCCATGCAATGTGTGTTACTGACACAGGAAAAGATGCCATTTGAAGGAGTGTGTAAAAGGTAGAAACCTAAACACAACAGAATCAAGAGGCAAAAACTGAAAAGTCAATGCATTCTCTATCCATAGTGGCTGTCAATATTGTTCAAATTATCAGGTTAATTGCCAGATCTCCACTTTACTTCAAGCTGTATAGAGGGAGCTTGTGTCAAAATTAGATGCTTCATAAATGGTTCTCTTGATGTTATCTTAAATTCATCTCCTTTCCAAAGAAGGTCTATTAAAGCAGCTTCTACAGTGGCAACAATCTTTCCAACTAAAGTAAAATAGCTTAAATGCTTAATGGGCCCAATTCTCTGCAGAAATTGCTGCTCATGAAGCCCCTGAGGCAAATATGCTGAGAATAAGTACTTAGCAACCCCTGGCACTATAGGAGCCACGGGTGGGGGTAGGGAGGAGGGAGGTGGGAGTGGGGTGGAGGAAGGTGGGGGAGTAGAGAGAGCTTTTCCCCTCTCCACCTCCAGGGTACTTGGTAATGGTAATAATCAACTTAACTCCTGACCTTAGAGCTCCCAACCTGGTAGGACAAGGCATGCTCTTCCTCTTTTCATACCTGCATTCTCTCCAACCTCCAACCCACCCCCTGCCCATATACTTCTCCCTTTTAGTCCCTGTCTTTGCAACCTATTCACAGGGAAACATCAGAGATAGCTTCCAGGAACGCTTCCCCTTCCCCTACCATGGTGATAAACCACTGCCCATCTGCAAACATCCCCTTTCCCTTCTACCACTGTAAACCCCCCTCCCCTACCTGGACTTGGAATCCCATCCCTTTATGACTTCTCAGGGGCTTTATTCCACTCTTGAATATAACCTCCCTCTCCTTTATATTCCTGCTGATATCAAACGTCCAAAATGTAATTTCACCAGAGTAGACTTATTTTAGTATAAGTATATCCCAAATACCATATGGGATATTCTTATACTGAAGATCTCTGTATTTGGGATATACTTATACAGAAAACTTATCTGTTGTTTATATGACATTCAGATTCAACTGGGCATCTTGTATCTTTATCTGCTAAGTCTGGCCACCATATACCACAGAGGTCTCCCTTGACCACCCACCACGTAGAATAGTACTACCCCTTCAGAAAGTTTCTATCACCTTTGCCTCCTCACACTATCAGCACAGGGCATACTATATATTTATACATTGGGTTATTGTCTCTGTTCCTTCACCTCCCGGTTAGAATGTAGGTTTCGTGGCTGGAGGGCATTTTACATTAAGTGATACAAGCCAAGCACAGAAAGACAAATATCATATGTTCTTACTCATATGTGGGAGCTAAAAAAAAAAATTGATCTCATGAAGGTAGAGAGTAGAATGATGGTTGCCAGAGGCTGGGAAGTAGTGGAGGGGGGGTGATGAAGAGGGATTGGTTAATGGGTACAAAATGCACTTAGCTAGAAGGAATAATATCTAGTGGTCGGTAGCACAACAGGGTGACTTAACAACAATTTATTGTATATTTCAAAGTAGCTAGAAGAGAGGACTTGGAAAGTTCCCAACACAAAGAAATGATAAATAAATGTTTGAGGTGCTGGATACCCCAATGACCCAGACTTGATCATTACACATTATATGCTTGTATCAAAATATCACATGGACCCTATGTACAACTATTATGTCTCCACAGAAAGTAAAAATTAAAAAATGAAATTTAAAAGAAAAAAGAATGCAGGGTCTATGGAAACAGGGCCTTTCAAAAGTCTCTGTTGCATTCTCAATGCCTAAAACAGGATGTAGTGTGATGTTAGGGTTTGATAAATGTTTGTTGAATCAATAAATGCTTGAGTCTCTCTCATTTTAAAATTGTCACTTAACATCACAATCTCCCTAGATGTATTCCTTCATCTCTCTCCCTCACTTCAGAGCCCGAGTTTTAAAGTGGTTTTACCATTTACTGTCACTGTTACTTCATCTCTCAGTTCCTCCTCTTCCCACTCCAATCTGGCTCTGCTCTTATTCATTATTCCGCTAAAACAGCCCTGGCTAAGGTCACCAATTACCTCCATCCTTTCAACTCACTCAGACATTTTTTACCTCCATCTAATCTCTCAACAATATCTGATGCTATTGACTACCCCCTGCTTCATGAAACAAGCCGTTGTTTCAGCGGCACTGCACCTCCTGGTTTTCCTCCTCCCTCCACAATCTCTCCTCCTTAGTACTCCTTGCCAGTGTGTCCTTCTCCACCTGGCCATTACAATTTGGACTTGGCAGTGTGTGTGTGCCATATCGGTGTCCACAAGAGAACCATACTTTTTCAGGTGATCATAACACCTAGCACACGCAAGCATGTCTAGATGTTGGTCACCATGCCATGTGTCTGTCTTCTCTTGCTCTGGGTTGCCAACCTGCTCTGCTGCCGAGTGGCCAGCATGCACTTTGAACTGCTGCTCGCTGCTGTGAGTTGTGTTGTTGAGGCCTGACACGCCTCAGTTGTAGATTCAGCTGACCAAAATCAGCAGTTTGCACATTTCCTTGGCATTTGTGAGCAGGCCTTCTATACAGTGGTCTTGTGTTGGGTGTTTAGGCTGGGACCCATCTGTGCATTTTAGAATGAAGCTGTGACTGAGGCTGGGTATTGGCTTTTATCTGCAGGTCTGTGGGGCATGTGGGGAACTGGTGGTGATATTTTATTTCTGGGAAAATTGTGTGCGCAAAACCTTGAACATAAATGTTTATAGCAATGTCATTCATGATAGTCAAAAGGTAGAAACCAAATAATCTATCATCTAATGTGTGGATAAACGTGTAATATCCAGACAATGGAATATAATTCCAGCATAAATCCAAATAAAGTGGTGAACATGCCACAGCATGAATTTCTCTTCAAAAAACTATAGTAAGTAAAGCCAGTTACACTTACCCCATATGATATGATTTCATTCATAAGAAAGTCCAGACTAGGGACATCTGTAGAGAGAGGAAGTAGATTACTGGTTGCCTAGGGCTGGGTGTTGGGGGAAGAAAATAGGAGGATAGGGGAGTGGATACATAATGGGTTCAGGGGTTTCTCTGAGGTGATGAAAATTAACTGTAGAGATGGCATGTATGTGCAAATACACTAACAAACTATGAAGTATATAGTTTAAATGGGTGTATTGTATAGGTCGTGCCTATTTGAATATAACCATTGAAGTAAGTAAATGCATTAGGAGTTTTGGTTCAATCTGTTAAGGGAATTAATAGTTTCCAGGCTTAGTCTAAATTTATACAACCTGTTATTGTTTTTCTTATATATATCAAAGAGAATAGGAATTCAGTTGCCTTGGAGATAGCTTACCCTTTTACATTTCAAAATTCTCTAGGGATACCCCCAACGGCTTATCTAAAATCTGTTTCCTTCCAAGGTATAATGTACACCTGACATTTTTAGTGAACTTGTCTTATAGGAAGTAGATGGTCTGAGAAGAGTTTTCAAGCCCAGGAGAGGGTAGTAAGATTCAAATGTCTCACCAGAGCCAAAGTGCCAGATGTGTAGGTTTAAGGGTGACAGTCTCATGAGTCTGTAAGTCCTGACCCTCAAACATCAGACCCTCCTGTTTCAGTCTGGCCTGGCCTCGACACCCTTTTGCTCTGAATAAAGGGGTCACTACATGTGGAAGCAAAGCCAGAAATTTTCTGCTCTCACATGTTTCCCCAAGTTCAGAAGGAGCTGTGGGAAGACGCTAGTGCCTGTCCCCAGGTCCTGAACAACTTCTTCTAAAGTTCAAATACCCATGGCAGGGACAGATTCCTGAGATGGCTGAATCTAGGTTGGGCTGAGCCACATGACCTCTCACAACTGTCACTCAGGTTAAAGGGAGTGGGGCCTTAGGAACTGTGGGAATAACTCTGCAAAGGTGTGTGGACATCGCCATTTGTTCCCATGGGGTAACTGTCAGCTTGTCTTACCTGTCTCTAAAGAGCTCTGGTGGCTCTGCCTCTGCCAGGCTGTGATCTGCACTGGCCGAGAAAGCCTTAGTGGGGACATCAGGACACCTAGGAAGGCTGAAAATGGGAAGTGATTGTGGCTGGATGTTCCCAGACTGGAGAGGAAGAACTGGTTGGAACTGTCAGGAACTGGCTTTGTCCAGGGGACCCGGGCCTCCCTGTGGTCAACTCCAGAGTCTTGTCAAACTTTTCCTGAGTAGTTGAACCATTTACATTCCCATCAGCTTGTAGGAGTGGTATAGTTTTCATGCATCCTCAGCAGTACTTGTCATTGTCACTATTTGGTTCAACCACTCCAAAAGATATGCAATAAAATCCCAGTGTGGTTTTCATCAGAATTTCATAATTACTAATGATGTTGAACATATTTTCATGTGTGTATTTGCCATCTGTATGTCCTCTTTTCTGAAATGACTCTTCATGTATTTTGCAATCTACTTGAATTCTTTACTTTTTTTACAGTTGCACTTTCAGAGTTCTTTATATATTCTAGATACTAGTCCTTCGCAACATGCAATTTGGAAATATTTCTCCAACTCAGCAGCTTGATTTCATCATCTTAACTGGGTGTTTCACAGAGCTAAAGTTTATTTTAAAATAATTTTTAATGTTTTCATATAAAATTTTTCATTTCAACCATTTAAAGTATACCAATCCATGACATGAGTTATATTCATAATGCTGTTAAACTATAACCACTATCTGTGTCCAATTTCTTTCATCATCCCAAACAGAAACTCTGCCCCCATGAACCAATAACCTCATTTCTACCACCACCCCAGCACTTGTTCCCTTCAATCTATTTTCTGTCTCAATGAATTTTGCCTATTCCAAATACTATATATAAATGGAATTATACAATATCTGTTCTATTTGTTTCTGTTAACGCTAGTGCCTGTCCCCAGGTCCTGAACAACTTCTTCTAAAGTTCAAATACCCATGGCAGGGACAGATTTGTTAATTCACTTATAATATTAAACTATGTTGAAGCTTGTTGCAAGATTTTATTCATTTTTATGGTAGAATAAAATTTTATTGTGTGTATACCCTAAACATACAAACAAACAACAATTTGGAATTGGTCCTCAGCCCTCTTCTCTCTTAACTTTATGTTCTCTCCCTTGGGTAATCTCATCTATGCCTGTGGCTTCAAAGATCATTTCATTTATTTTCTGATGACTCTGAGATTTGTACATCCATCCCACAAGTTGCCTCCTAGTTCCAGACCTATATATCCAATTGCCTACCTGGCATCTCCACTGGGTATCCCTACGTTATTTCAAACTCTGTTGTCTACACCTGAATCTAAGACACCTTTTCCTCACCCTAACCCCAGTCACCTTCTATTGTTCCATATTTCAGTGAATGACACCTCCATGTGTCTAATGGCACAAGCCAGAAAACAAAGTCATCCTCAACTTCTGTAAATCTCACTTCCCAGATGGCTCTCAAATCCATTCATTTCTCTTTATCTCCATAATCACCTAGTACAAAAGTGTGCTACCTCTTGCTAGACTACTACAATTGCTTCTTAGCTAAAAGAGGTGCTTCCACTGGCTCAGACCTCCTTCCAATCTGTTCTCCACATTTACAGCTAAAGTGATTTTTGTTAACCTGTTAAAAATTTTTCATCGGTTTCTGAGAAGGCCCCAACCTCTCTTTCCAGTTTTATCTCATACCACTCTCTTCTTCATTCTCTCAACTGCAGTAATACTGGCCTGGAATTGGTTTCTTAAATGCAACTATACATTCGAGAGGGCTACATAAGAAACCGATCACAAAATAACTAGTTTCAAATAGTGTAGTAGTGAGAAATAATCTTGCATATGAAAACCTGCCATTTGCCATGTGCCCAAAACTTCACATAAAACTTAGGGCTGAAAGGTCCTTCACACATCATCTGAGCTAATTCTCTTCCCTCCAATAAGGAAGTGAGAAAATAAGGGTCCAGAGAGGAAAAGAGATCAACCAAAGCCACACAGCTATTTGGTGGCAGAGCTAGAAGTTAGCCTTCAGACTCAAGAATCATGTACTTTGTCAACGAACTTTCTGACCAGGTTGAAAAGGCCTATTATAGACAGGTGTCAGCTAGTAGCCAATGGCATGGATTCAGTCAGGTTTGGGGTCTTGGTGCTTTCCTGTATAGTAAGCAGTTGTGGACAACTGCTTACAATACAGGGAAACAACAATGGGTCCTGACCAAACTACCAAAGGCAGATCCACCTTCTATGAGTCTGCCACATAAGCCACCTGTTACCACCTGGGATTTTCACAAAGATCTCCTTCTCTCTCCTCTGAGTCCTAACAGTAATCAGCGTGGGGTCCATTGAGAGTCACCAAATGAGGGCAATAGATTCAAGGCACCACTATTTCCTGACAATTAGGCAAAGGTATCATCTGAAAGATCCTAGTCCATTTCCTTTCAAAGGAAATCCCAAGCTACCGAATACAATTCATGCTTTGAAACGAAAGTTGTCATTCAATAGCCAAGGGAAGCTTTCTGGAAGACTCTTCTATTGAGATCAAGGGAGGCTGAGTAAATACCTTCTGTGTGCTTATCACTATGGGCACTGAAGTGTAAATGAGTGTGAAAGTTGCCTTTTGGTGTCAAAAGACCTGACAAGATTCTTTTCCAAATGGGATTGGAATTATTAGTAAATTTGTTGAGCTGAAAGGCACTCTTTATCAGCTGTAAGTATTTTTAATTGGTTTCCAGGGAACACCTGTGTTAGGGTTATAAGCATCAAAGGTGATAAACAACTTAATTATCCTTCCAGAACCATTAGGAAAAAGTATCACTGTTGGTGAGCTTTCTTTGATGCCTTCTTTTGAAATGCCATCCTGCTACTATTGTGGGACTATTTGTAGTTTATTTCCCAGAACTTTGATGCTCCCTTCATAAACAGAAAAGGCTGTAGATTAATCAAATTAATAACATTTGCACTGGTCAAGTGTATCTTAAGCTACCATTGGACACAACTGCTCCTTGGAGAAGCAGCAAGTTAGAATCAGAAAGCCTTGAGAGAATGTTGAGAGAGAGGGGCAGCGAGCACAGAAAGAGACAGAAAGACCTATGTCTAGCACCATTTCTTTATCATGGTGGTTTCTGAGAAAAGGGATTTGCCAATTTGTAAGGCTGTTACAGGGAAGAAGGGGAAGAGTTTTGTATTTTTTTTTATTTTTAATTACTGTCCTTAATTTTATTTTTGTGAATATGAGTTGCAATATGAAGGCAGAGTGTGGTAGCAGTTGTTAGTAGGCCAAATTGTGCTCAAAATACCTTTCTTTCCTAAGAGTCCACCTTTGCATAGTGAAAGTTTTTTCACTTTCTAGACGTTTTTATTTCAATATAGTGTCCCTGGGAAGGGTTTTTTAAAAGTCGCTGCTATGACAGAGTACAGTAACCTTTCTGCAGAAACTAGTGAACAATCAGGAGAGTGAGATTCCAGTTGAGGCTGGAGATGGACTTTCCCTAATTCGGGTTTGCTCAGGACTAATCCTGAGTTACTTAGCATTTTGGTCTTGTCGCCTTCTTTTATTTCTCTATTACATGCAAAAATTTTCTGGCTCTCACTTTCACTCTTTGAAATGTCTTTTTGCCTGGCAGGAATGAATGAAAAACTATGTTTTGAACTCTTCAAGAAGAGGTGCTATAGATTCAGGAAAATTCACTACAATCATTTTTAAACACTTCATGTTTTAAAAACTGCTGACTGTGATAAAAATCACAGAGTTGGAAAAGGACCACAGGGAAGCTGTTCCTGTCTCACTTCATGAATGAGGAAACTGAGGCCCATCCAGAAAACAAAGCTCTCAGCTCAGAGCTCTTGCCATTCTACCCCGTGGCCTTCTCACTTGATTCTGCTGAGGGAAATCTGGCACTGTGGCTGGGCCTAGGATCATGTTAAGTAACTGTCTCCACATGATATCTCTGGTATGGGGTAGAATTAAAGGGAAGCACAGTGGCCACCATCCTTTCAGCCCTGCCTCAACTTGGCAAACTACCAACTAGGCTAAACATTAATTTTCCCCAAACCATTCTAAAGCAGGGAATGTGATATCACAATAAAAATGTCAGTTGGATGTTAAAAATCAGAACTTAAAGAAAATGCCTAACTTAATTACTTTGACTTTAAACTGAGAATGGAACAACTGAATAGTCTCTTGGTCTGACTTGATCCGAAAGGGGTAAGACCTTTTAGCACTGGCAGGTCTATTAACATGGGACTCTTAAACTTAAGTCAGGGCTTGTCTCTCTTCACAATTATCTATACCACCATCGATTTCCCTTTTCTCCTTTTTCTTTGTTCAACTGACCAGTTTTAAATTCTTTCTGAATGTTGGTGGGAATTTTTTGTTGAAGAACAAATAGTCCAACTGTATTTATTTATATCATACAAGCTTTTAAAAAAAATAGAAAGTGTGTTCCAATCTTATGATTTCATATTTGATACATAGTATGTTTTGGCTCCAGGAAGGAATTTAAATAATCCTGGTTATCTCAAACCAAATTGCCTCAGTCTGAAGACAAAGGGCCAAGTAGGAACTGCCATGCGTTCCTCAGACCCCAACACCTCTGCCTGACTGATTCCCACCACAGCCCTATTTCTTAGATCTTTCTAAAGGAGGCAGACAAGAGAGATTATACCTCCTGAGTTCCAGTTTTACATCAGAGAAAGGCAGATATCTTCCTTGTCTGGGTTCCACTATTGTTAACAGAGAAAGAGCAAAGACCATGAGTCCTACAGTCTTTAGTTGGCAATCAGCCCACGGCCAGCCACCTTTGACAGTCCAGTCATCCCTGTCTGCCAGTGTTGATGGTGGTCATTGACAAACTCATAGGATTATGGGAGGCTGACACTCACAGCCACTTTAAGAAGAATAAATGATGGTTTTTAAAGAATAAAGCCAACATTCAAGAATTCTGTATCTGCAAAATACTGCACAAGTTTTCCTCAAAACTTTCCCCTTTTTCCTACCCTAAATACAATGAAGAAATATAATACAAGTTTACCAGTAACTGCAGCTCTCCATGACAATGACTTGGCACATCCTCTTAAGGGGGCCTTTGCACCCTTAGAATACTTGTCCTGACTTATTTATAGAATTGTTTTGTAGAATAATGATATCGATGATTATTAAAACTACTAGAATTAATAGAAAGATTATTATCCCAGCACCTTTCTTCCCAGCCAGGCTAGGGCTAGGGTTTTGGCTTCAGACTGAACCATAACACTTACTGAAGACAAATCTACAACCCAGGTGATTTCTGTCTATGGAGATTTTTCATCTTTGTGTCTTACTTCTCATCTATGCCATTATCATTTTGTCTCAGGATGACCCCGAGTACCCTGATTGTACCTGACCAGTGTCTGACCTCCCTAAACAGTTCACCTCACTATTGTCTCCCTACCTCCTTTACTAAAACCATGTCTTGACAAATTACCAACCTTCTTAGCAAAACTTTAGTATCCTGTATTCCGTTTCCTCAAGATCTTACAGATACCCAGGAAGATATTTAACACACCAGCACGTGATAAGGTTATATGGGCGACAGAGAGTGTGTGCTTTAAAGTCAATCTGTGATACCTGAAGCATTGTAAGAGCTCAATCAAGCAGAGCTATTATTCTTGTATTATCATTGTCATCAACAGCAGCTGCAGCAACTATTAATGGTGTACTGATCACCTTCTCCAGATATTATTGTTTTTCTGGAGGCTTTCAATGATTTTACCCTCTGAATTGAGGAATGTGAAAATTTCTGTTTCTAACTACTCAGTGGGAGCATGGTGTTGCTGAGATATTTTCAATCCTTCTAATCCTTCTCCTGTCCTACACTGAAGCCTGGGCCTGCTCATGGTTTTTGGAGGCATCCAGTCCTGATCAGTTCCAAGCCTCAGGCAGGGCTGGGGCAGCACACAGCAGAGAGAGACCTGGGCAGCTGGGGTAGGCCACAGCATGGCCACTTCTACCCCCCATCACACCCTCTCCTCTCAGGAACCACATGGGCAAGTTCCAAAGCTGAGATTCAAGAGATATCTTTAAGCTCAGTGTGGGATGAGCAGATAAGAAAAGTAAGGGATTTCTCTAATTTAACCCCAGAAGTCTTGATATTCTGCATGACATGGTTTTCAAAACATGAAGAATCCTTTCTAGCGAGTGTGTGTGTAAGAACTGGACAAATGCATACCCTTACTTAGTACCCAAGAGTGGCACAGAAATTAGCATCTCCTGAACCCCTTATAAGTGACATAGCAGAGTCATGATAACATTCCAGGGGGAGCCATTGCGCCCCACTACTTAAGACTGATGGGGGGGCCTTTCCCACTTGTGGTGCCATAACTGGAGAGTCTTATCCAGAAGGATGCTAATGCACCCCAGAACTAATGCTTTGCCAACTTTGGCTACTGCATTGTGCTGGCTCTGAAATAGAACATATTTCTCAAGTGAGTTAATGTCTATTTACCACTTTGTTGTAATGTGTAATTATCATAAATGACACTTAATTATTTAATTACTAGACCAAAGGGGTAGATAAGAAATTGCTGCAAGGAAGATATAAGACCAAGCCTCTTTCTATATAAAAGGGCATATATATTATATATGTATATGCACCATACATGTTAATACATATCTAGAGATATTTTATATGAGTGTTTATGTATAAATCCATACTTGCACATAGTTTTGACATACCAGATTGTCATCAGTTTGATTCAGTGGTCATACATGTGGACTGCAGGAGACATGCTGCCAAAATAAAGAAATAGTTTTGTTGATTCTAAATGTGAACTCCTTTTAAACAAAGCTGCTTTAGTAACAATGTTACTAAAGGCTATTACTAAAGATTACTTTGTTGAGCAACATTGACCCTATCCTCTTGTTGCTCTCCTCTTTAAGAAAATAATTCACAATGCGGTGAGAGCTTACAGTTATTGGGTTGTACATAGTGCCAATTTCAGATGGAGAGAGGGTGGGCCAGTGTGAACAAAGTTTCTTAGCTGGAATCTAGTACTCACCCAAAAGAAGGGCTGATCTTTTGAGGAAATATGAAGAAAGGAGTATTTACTTAAACTCCCTCTGTGATTTGTGACAAATGGTTCCCACAGGTCTTAGAGGAATGCTGACCTCCCTTTTCACAGGAGGAAAAGATATAAGGCCCCCAAAATTCAAAGCAATTCTAGGAATGTGCTCTTTCACAACCAAATCTTTTCTGAGACACTTTCTTGTGGATCATTTCCTAAATATAGTCACTGCAGGCTTCCAGTAGCTAACAGTAATAGCTCCTGTTAATTAAGCACTTAATACATGCCAGGTGTCAGGCTAAGTGTTTTACCTGTATTTATCTATTAATATTTATTTCTTATAATGATCCTTTTAGGTATATCCTACTTTTATCTGCATTTTATAGATAAGGAAACTTGGAGAAGGTAAGTAACAAGCCCATTGTCACACAAGTAGTAAGTATAGAAGCAAAATTTCAACCCATGCAATTGGGCTCCAGATCCCACCACTTTAACTACCAACTCATACCAGTACACCTTGCATTGATTCAGGACAAGTGCTAAAGATTTCAAAAACTCAGAACAGATTAGGGAAAATATATTAGTTTCGACCAATTGTGAGTGTTTTCAGTGGCTGATGGAAAATATGTACCATGAAAACAAAAGCAACAACAACAACAGCTGCAATAGAGGTTCTGGTGAAACCAGTGTCTTGTTGTGAGTCAGCCGGTAAGAACAAGTCAAGACTCTTGTTCTCCCCTGCTTGGCACTGGCTGCTGCAGTAGAATTAGGGGCACGGTGGAGTTTAACTGCTGGGTTAGTGTGTTTAGCAGCTCCTGCTCCTGGGGCTCATTAACCACAAAGGTGACAAACATCACAGAAATGGTACAAGTCACCTAGGGAAGAACTGGCTAATGACACCAGGCTCATGTTCCCAAGCCCAGAAGTAAGTTACATGTTCCCCTCAGAGAAATCTTTTAGTGCCGTCATCAAACTATTATTAGCTGTTAGATAGAAAAAGACAGTTGAATCTTTATATTTCCTTAGCTGCCTGGTACCATCATATGTGTACTTAATATTTTGAAAAGAGTCTTGAGATGTCATGAAACCCACAGAGGATTTCATTTAATATCATAGTCTTTTTGTACAAAGTCTTCCCTAATTGTCTTCCTAATGTCTGAGATGACTTTATGTATTTGAAAATTGCTTCATTTGGCAAAAGACATTTTATAAAATATATGGCCAGCAAAGCTAGTCTTGCCCCTGAGGGAAATGAGCGAGATGCTCGTTTATGTGTTTGGGGGAGGGGAACCTTTTATGGATTTCTTCAACTAAGTTATTTGGAGCAGCTGTTGTGTCTGCGTAACTACCTGCAGGCTGAGGAAAACACAGGGATAGATGGCACAGTCCTTTTCTTGAACAAGACTTCGGGGCTCTGCCTGCAATGACCAGAACAGAACTGGCTGTCATATAGACATGTTGATGATGCCACCATCTTGTCTTGGCCATCCTCAATTGTCACCAACCCCCCCACACACACACAAGTCCCTGCTGTCCTCAGAATAAATAAGCAAACACAAACTGTTTGAGAAGAATAAAGTTGAAGATAGAATACCAAAGAAAATGTTTTTAAGTTCAATTTATTTTAGAGCCCAAGCTTCCAGACTCATTTTGATGTATGAATAAGTCTTATGGTAGGACGCTTATGAAGGTAAAAGTCATGAGAATCAGAATTTCTGGAGGAGAAAAGATGAGTTGGCTACACGGTGCATGCACGCACACACACACACACACACACACACACACAAACACACACACACAAGCACTTTCTGGGTAAATCTATGGCTTCAGAACTGACACTTACCTTCTACTAATATATTAACTCTATATTTTACAGCCACTCTGAATTTTGGTTTTTATCCATATATATGATTAACAGTCCCTGCTTTGCCTGCCTACAATGATCCTATTAGGTAGGAAGGGTTGATATGAAAATAAAATGAGATATGAAATATCTCCATAACCAGATTCTTTTTGGAGGGAAAACCACTTGAGACCATGGGCCTTTCACCTTCAGTTAATTTTTCTTTAGCTGTTCATTTGTTTGTTTAGGTAACATAGTAATAGAGAGTGTGCTTCTGTAAGGGCAAGTGATTTCTCACCTCAGGAAACTGGAAAGACCTTTGTTATCAGACACCTAAAATGCACCATTTAGGGTCCTTTCTGTCTCACCAGTCTCTAAGTCCAGCCACTGCTGGGATGAGTAGTTGTTGTGCGTGGGTTCTGATACAGTTCGCCTGGGCTCAAGCTGACAGTGACGTACTATATGCCCTGATTTTGCACTTTCTGCCAAAGATTCCCCATATTAACATAGGAGTTTAGAATATTATGCAAACACAATGCAAACACAACCTGGAAATGCAAGGAAGTTTTCACCCCTGTGGAATTAAAATCTGACCCGTGAAAGGCAGGGACCCATGAACTAATTTATTTCCCCTTTCTCCCCCTAGAAAGACTACCCTAAGATGCAGTTTTATGTCTTCTCAGAGGATGGCCTTATAACATCAAGCAGTAAGCTGAACTTAGCAGCAACCACCTTGATCAACATTCCTGTATTTTCCTCCATCCTTTGCTGCTTTATAATCCATATTCTTCATTTCAGATTACACTCTGTAATAAAGTACAAGGTGGCTTTATTTCAGGGGAACCAAGGCTAAAACAATTGATACCAGAGTGACTCCAGGAGGAAACCCCTCAGGAAGATATTTTGGATCTGGGTTATAAAGACCCCAGTGCTGGCAGAAGGGGTGATAATGATGATAACACCAAGCATGTAGCGGCATCATAATAACTAAGACTTTCACCTGTGGTTAATTGGGCTGAGACGCAGGTGGTAAATGAAGGGGCCATGGTGGTTAAAAGCTTGGATAAAATGATAATTATAGAAATTGTAGAAAGAAGACGACTGCTGTTAACCACACTGGAGGGCTTAGAAAATAAAAAATAAACTTGGGGAAGCCAATAGTCAAGTCAAGCCATGCTGTGAAATTCAGAAATCCTCTATGGCAGCTGCAATGGAAACTGCCATCTTACTGAACCACAGGGAAGACTATGCTAAAATCAAAGCCAGGATCTAATTGTAAAGGTGCAGAACCACAAAGGAGTGTGAATACACAGGCTTAACAGATCTCCCATATCAAAGTCAGGTCCCTGATAAGAAAACAGTTGGTAGGAATATTTGGGTGAACCAGCCTGAGAATCTTGAAGTCCCAGATTCCACTAAACTCCTCTAGGACTGCATGGAGACTGTTCAAGGATTTTCCCTAAGGCAGGAACCTCATAAGATGTTAAGTTTTCTCTTAGAGATCTGGCCCCACCATTGCTCACTGCCTCTGGACTGTCGACCAAGGTGAAGTCTCTGACCAGTCCAAAGTACTACTCCTGGCTGAAATAGCTGACCTGCTAAAAGAATTGCAAAAACTAGTTCATATCATCTGCTAAGAATATGGGACTATATATGCAATAATGGAGCTTGAGGGTCTTGAGCTAGAGTGAGGAAATCAGAATATGAGGCTGAATAAAGGAAAATTTACTAATATGGGCCCCCCTCCATGATCAGAATTTATGCCCTACAAAACCCCCTGGAGCTCATCCTAATAGGCTGTTGAGATGTGTCTTGAGGCTTGGTGAAGGGAATGCTTACATCAGTGACCATAACAGAAAACATCACCATCCCATCACCCAGTTTGCAGATCTAAATTGGTTCATAAGGCCAGGCAAGGTGGCTCACGCCTGTAATCCTAGCACTCGGGGAGGCCGAGGCGGGCGGATTGCTCAAGGTCAGGAGTTCAAAACCAGCCTGAGCAAGAGCGAGACCCCATCTCTACTATAAATAGAAAGAAATTAATTGGCCAACTAAAATAGAGAAAAAAAATTAGCCGGGCATGGTGGCGCATGCCTGTAGTCCCAGCTACTCGGGAGGCTGAGACAGAAGGATTACTTGAGCCCAGGAGTCTGAGGTTGCTGTGAGCTAGGCCAATGCCACGGCACTCACTCTAGCCTGGGCAACAAAGCGAGACTGTCTCAAAAAAAAAATTTAAAAATAAATAAATAAATAAATCGGTTCATAGACCCACACTTCAGTGACTGATGGGGAGGTCAGGAAGGACCTCGAGGAAGGACCCTTAAATTCCATCACAAGCATATACAGTACATGTTCCTTTGATTCTTCCCCCTAAATGTACCTGTGGCAGAATAACTATTGTTGAAAGGGGAAAACCCAGGCCTTTTAAAGTCTGTTAGACAAGGGCTGGGACTGAAATGATACCAAATGACATGAAATGTTACCAAAGATCTCTAGCTAGAGTGGAAGCTCATCTGGGCACAGTGATAATGGACTTTTGGCCCAAGTTTGTTTTACTTGTTAAAGTGTTAAAGTGTTGACAGACCCATCCTGAAGTTATTGCCATACTCTGAGTATATAACTGGGATAAATACATCAGCTGATAGAACCCTCATCTGGTTCCCAGAACTGTGGTTTAAGAGAAATTATGAGGGAAGGGCCAAGTAGAAACCCCTGAAACTGCCTCTGTCCCCATCCAAGGCCACAAATCAGAAGCAACACTTTATTTCAGGGGGAATTTCAGATATTAGTGCCGTAATCAAACACTTGGAGAATACAAGTTGATGGTTTTCATCATATCCCTGCTTCAATTCTCCTGTATGTTCATGTCAGGGTCTGTCTGG